TTTTTTTTTTTTTTACTAACTTGCCCATTTTCAGGGGCACTTTTTGCCCTGAGTTCTGTGGTCAAATTCCTGTGTGCCCCCAAATTCATGTGTTGAAACCCTAATGACCAGGGTGGTGGTATTAGGGGATGGGGCTTTTATCTTGTGATCAGGTGAGGAGGGGGAACCTTAGGAAACAAGTTACACCAGACACGCCTCCTCCCCAGACCCCCAGCCCCTGGAAGAGGCTCTCAGAGGAAGAGGCTGGCACCCCAATCTGTCTTCTCACGTCGGCCTCCAAAACCGTGAGTGTCCATTTCTGTTGATAAGCCTGGGTGAGGTGTTTTGTTAGCAGCCCGAATACACTAAAATCCTGAGGATGGGGGGCCTTCCTCAGCGCACCAAGCACTGCCTGTCCCGGCTCCCTCACTCCCTGTAGGGCCACACGCCCCCAGGTGGCCGCCCAGGAACTAGTCCAGCCTCCCCCCCATCGGGGCGTTCCCCCTTCCCTCACAGAAGCCCCATTTGCATCTCTTGGTGTGTTTTATAATACACAGTGTGGGGAGTTTTGCCTTAGGTGCTCGTGTTCTTATCTACACACAGAAATGAGCGGTGACGGTTTTTATTCCAACCCTTTTAGCTTTCTTTTCCTTTTTTCCTCTTTTATCTTGAAAATCATCTCTCTTTTATGGGAACAAAATATGACCTTCATTTGATTGAGCAAATAGAAAGGAGTTTGCTGGAACTGAAGGGGGAAAAAGCTGTGTGTTTTCGAGGTGAAATTAAATATGGTAAGAAATTCATGTTGTTAACCTCTGCTGCCTTTAAAAATATTTTAAACTGTCTTGAAATTGGCACAGAATAAATTGCTCCACTCTTCATCATCTGCTGTGTAAGCACACTTAATGGCGAGCACCCTATTTTATGAATAAAATAAATAAAATTTGCTTTCCAATGTCCCAATTCTATTTAGCTACTGTGTATTTTTTTTAAAAACAGGTGTTCTTTTTACCCTTCCATCAGGATGGAAGTACCGTTGACATATAAGGTAGTCTTCTAAACTTGCTTCGTCCCAACAATTATTTCAACAACGTTTTAGGTTAAATGGTCCCGTGGCTCCACATCGGGGAACAGGAGGGAGCAGAAGGGGGTGAGGTGGCACCCCCTTTCTTGGAAAGCAGATATCTCTGATTTTGACTTGAAATTCTTTAATCTGTGGGCGGGGTCTGTGGGCTTTAGTGACCAGTCAGGGGAATCCCCAACCCCTAACATAGGTGGACAGTTGGCCCCAGATGCCTAGAGAGGGATTCTTGGGGCCATTTTCATATAGATGACCAGTGCTCATTAGACGGCAGGGCAGTGGGCACTGTGCCCATGCCAGGTGTCTCTCCTGGCTGTGTCCACCCTCAGGCTGCCTGGTCCCGATGGCCACACACTGGGCAGAGGCTGCCTCCACTGCTCTGGTCACGCAGCCAGACTTGCTGGCCTTGACCCTGGGTCCTGCTCTGGCCTCCCTCCCCTTTCCTCCTGGTTCGAGGTATGGGAAACAGCAGCTTTTGCCTTTTACCGGCAGACCTGGCAGCCTGATGACGGCTAGTAGCTCCGCTACTGCCTTTGCAATACACTTTGGAGGGGGAACAGGCGGTCAGCTGGTCCTGGGGCCACAGGACCCCTGGTGCCCCTCCCTCTGGAGCTGGAAACACGGCTTTGACCTCTGCATGTGGCCACGTGACAGTGCACCCACCCAGTGGCTGGGGCGGGGCCATCCTGCGTTCAGGGTGGCTAGGAGCGCTGAGGCATGGGGCTTGTGGGCCAGAGCAAGGAGGCTGTCTGGTGAAGGGAAGGTGTCACGTTGTGGGTGTCCCCTGGAGGTCTGCTTTGCTACTTGGGACCTCAGCCTGAAACCCCTGTGGCCCCTGATTGCTAGTAAGTCTTATGCCAGAGCCCTGGGAGCTGTCCACGGTGCTGGGCGCAACCGCAGAGAGGAGTGGCATTGAGGATTCTCAGGGAGGGCTTGTCTGTCCGTGTTGAGGTGCGGTGACATACAGGGAGCCATGTGCACTTAGGGCACACGAGGTGGTGAGTTTGGGGAGAAGCGTGCCCCTGCGAGACCACCGCCCCAACCCCCTCACGAGCTCAGCTGTCAGCCGCAGAAGTTTCCTCCCTGACTGATTGGCTGGCTGACTGATAAGAATGCAACATACCTCTTACCCAATTTTTAGATGTGTTTCCTTGATAAAGAAAGAAAGTACACTCTCTCTGTCTGTCTCCACTACTACCTAGCTCCTTCCAGCCATTCCGAACACTGTCCCGTGCTGCCACGTGGCGGACACAGCCCCAGTCCTGGCCTGGACGCCAGTGGACGTGAAGCTCTGCGCTGGGCTGCCAGGCGGTGGGGAGGACGGGCGTCCCTGCAGATCTCTGGGTGCTGAAACTTCCAGTTGCCCAGGGCTGACAGGAGGGTGTCAGGAGTGGTGCCTCTGGGGTGACAGTGGACGAGCCCCCAGGACAAGGGACGGTTTTGCTGGTGGGGCACAGGGGCAGGCCGTGAGCATACACACAGGCTGCATTTTGCTCCCCGGACAGCAAAAGGGGCCAGCCCAGGGCTGCGGCAGGAGTGACGTCTTTACCTCCTCTACAAAGTCGTGGGCAGTTCCGTGTCTCCCATGTGTCCTCCCCGAGCGCCCTTCCCGGTGCCCGGGCCCTGTCCTCCACCACCTCGCCGCAGGAACTAGCCAAGTCGTGGAATCAGCCCGGGGCTCTGTACAACGGACCGATAATGGTGTGTGAGGGTTAGAAGAGTCAGGGCGCTTTGTCAGTTCTGCCTTTAGAAGAAACACAGAACAGACTTCAGACGTGCGCCTGGCTTATGGAAGCCCGGGACCTGGCAGGGCTGCCCTCGGAGGCACCTTGCCGACCACTCGAACAGTCGTCCTGCGAACGGTGCCCGGACTGCCGCCGGGCGGCCAGCTCTGTGCAGCCCCCTGCCGTTCCTTCCAGAGTGTGTGCCTCACTCTGCCTCCCGCTTGAAGGAGGCGAAGGCTCCCCACTCTGGCTGGTGACGCTGCATCAGCTGGGACAGTGCTGGATGACTCCAGCCCCCCGTTTCTGGTCGTTGCCCCTTGGGGTGGGGTGGCCACTGGCTACTCGTG